AAAGGAAATACATTTTCTTTTGAAATTTTGTGTGAAGTTCATAAGTATATGTGTACTAACTCAATTGCTGATTTGTTTGAATACTAAACAGCAGATTGAGTCAGAGAATAATTTGTTCTCTAGCTATTGGTTTGTGATGCCTGCCTTGGGTAGTCCTATGAGCTACAGAGCCAATTGTTTTGATCTATTGCTCTGGGCTATTATTAGGGTAGAAAAAGTAGCAAAACATAAGTTTATCAGTGGCAACAATATAATTTCCCAGGATTTTTGTACCAATATAATTCTAGGAAAAGTTTGGAGCTCATTCAAATATATTTAAATATTTTTCATTCATTCATTCATTCATTCATTCATTCATTCATTATAAAATATATTTAAATATTAAAGAAAAATCAGGGTAATTGACACATTAATTTATTTCTCAAATTAATGTATTAGCCACCCAATAAGGGATGTTTATTTCTTTATTTAAAGTTTTAACAATTATTGAAAATCATCTCAGTGCAACACTTTGCTCTAATTCATGCCCATCAGATTACTGGGTGTTCTTCTGTCCATGAACATAGGATGTGTTTTCCCTTACCATTTGAAAATGCCCTTGATATTCCTTTGTTACAAAGTGACCAAATCAACTACAAAGTTTTACAATTTGTTATTAGAAAAATCATCAAGGGAAACAGAACAAATGGAGTAACCCAAGAAATAATAAAGTCTAAATGAATTCTCCAAATCAATGGGAATCATATCTAACCACATTGTTAGAGCAGAAAGGCCATTTTCATGGTGCCAGCACTAACACATATTTATTCAAATAATAATTTTCTCTTGTAGATAGTGCCCTGGCTTTGATTTATTTCTTTGTTGAAGTAAATGTGAAAAACTGCCAAACCTCAGGAAATAAATTGAAACTATCTCATATATGTTTTCACCACAGGCATTGAGAAAAGAACATTTTATCCTCTTAATGGGCCGCAGAGACAGAGGATTATTATATGGATCATCCTTTCAGAGGAATAAGAATTTTTAAAGTTTAGACAAATAAGCCAATGGAAATGGGGGGCAAAGAAATACTCTCTAGTTTTGAGTTTTATTTTAAATCATGCTGATTTTTAGTATTGTCACTGTTTATCCTTTACCTCAGACTAACTGACTTCTTGGTTCTAAACCGTTATTGTGTTTGTTGTTTTGGTCAAAGAAGGGGGACAAATGAGCTTTTGGAAATGGTGTATTATATTTGGGTAAAAAAATAGAAGTAGATATTTTGCTAGTAAATGGAGGGGCAGCTCTCTTTGATCATCTCGAAAATGTAAATACAAGCTGGGTCTCCAGTACAACTCTATCTATTCCTTAGATGCATTAGGTGTATAGCACAGCATTGCCTTTAACTGCAAGCTTAGAAAGTCAGTTGGAGTCATGAGGTAAGATTTTCATGTGTAACATGACCTTCCTTTTGTCCAAAGTCCAAATTTCAGGCCAGGGAGAGCATTAACAAATTGAGTTCAGACTTGAATGGAATTCAAGAGGTAGAAATGAGGAAAGAAAGCATTGCACATATATATAGAAAAGTCTGATTCTTTTGTGGTCATCATGATATTGTGGTGCTTTTGGTCAAGTGTCTCAATGTATTTATACATTTTTAAGATTTAGAAGGAATGTAGTAGATAAATAAAAACCCAGATTAAAAAAATCTGAACAGAGATCATTGAGAAAAAGGAATTTTAGATGTGTTTCAATGAAAAGTATACAAAACATTTTATAAAATAAATGACATTCTACTGGGAAGCCTTATGTAAATGGAGCAAAGGTACCACTGTTTTAAAATAGTAGTTGGAAGAGTACTGCCATTCCATACGGCTGAGAATGCTCCAGCCATTTTGGTCAGACATTGAAAAAGTCTGTTTATCACTTATCAGCTCTGAAAATCTGTACTGGAGAGGTAAAAGTGTCAGCAAGAGAATGAAAATATGTGCCACCTGTCCCCCCTCCCCCTTTTTTGGCCTGACTGTTCTAGAATGTCTTCCTCCTAGGGGAGATCCACCAATTAAAAATGAAGCAGTCAAGTAGATGGAACATCTGACTACTTAGAAGTATTTTTGGCTACTTAAAGAGTAACTTTGTTAAATAGTACCTCAGTATTCCAAAAGTTTTGATGTACTATACAAAATATCTAACTTACTCCCAAGGAGTAATTTATCCACTCTGGAAATTTTCAGCTGTTCCCATTTTGCACACTTGTAAATTCTTTTTAGTTTTATGGTGCAGTATTTGTGAATGTAATCACCTTTCAATTGTTCCTGCCAATGCTATGGAATATTGACATGGATGGATAATTGAAATCATGGGATAATCTGTCCAGATTGGAAAAGCCAAGATTTCTTATCTCAGTTAACCTGTCCCTTTATGAGAGACAGAAAAAGTAATGGATAGAGTCACAATTGCCCCCAAAATGGAATAGAGACAGAAATGGACTAGGTCATTGACACATTTTCACGGATTGCAATCCTATGGATAAATTTAAACATTGGAGAAACCTGGCTAATTCAGCAAAATATCAGCATAGTTCTTAACTAGAGAATCAAGGAAAAGAATAGACCATGTTCTTGTCTGAATTTCCATAGTTTTAAAAGTGCAGTGTCTACCTTAAAAAAAAAAAAGAAAGAAAGAAAAACAAAGCAAAATAATGCAAAAATGCTCCTGGCTTACAAACTTCTGACAATGGATCACTATCCCCTGCTCTTTCTTCACGTGGTTGAGCTCTCATTAAAAATGCCCTTTAAGGTATGTAATTTGGACTGTATTGAAAATTTTCTCTGCCATTACGTTTAGATGGATTGCCTTTATTTCAAATCTCACCAAAGGGCCTTTCCCTTGCATACATTTCTCTTGCACAGTATCATGATCCTTTTCCCAATTTTCAAATAACACAATATTTTGAAATAATACTTATGCATGTTTTTACTCTCATACATTTCTTGTTTCATGTTTTTGTACTTCATTTTCAGGGAAAAATGATGAGCATTTCCCACAAATACTGTGTCTTCTCTATTTTTATGTTTTAGAAACCACTACACTGCTCTCAGAGGCTTTTCTAATCAGAATGTGTTTTGCCTTTCCTGGGGAAGATTAAGTGTTAAATTAAAGAAACAGTTTGCACTTTTCCACTGGGCCAAGTGAAAAGAGAGCTGTCAACATTCATTCTATCCTAATTTTTTTTTTGTTCTCTTCTTCCCTTTTTTGGTCCCTCCTCTTGTGCTGAATGTACAGGAATTTGGCTCTTAGTGTATGTGTGGGGAGACAATAGAGGTGAACTAAATTTCAGCAGATATCTAGTCCTTGTTTAGTAGGTTAAGCATGACCCTTCAAATGAAAGGAATATTTAAATATTAATACCACTTTTTAATTGTTTTGAGAATCATCTTCTTTCTCATCTTGCTTATGAACACACTCAAAGTATTATTTTTTCATTCCAGGATACCTCTAGGAACTTGGGGATCAGCTGAAGGAAGGGCAAAGTATTAAGAGATCTTGATTTCATCGAATTTTGTCAATGATTTTTGTGAAGCTCTGGATGAGTTTCTGGCCTTTCATACATGTGACTAGGAATCTAAGAGATTAATGAATGCTGCTGACCTACTTCATAGGATATAGTGAAGAAAACACTTTGTAAACCTCAAAGAGCTAGAAAAATGGGAGTTATTATTTTCAACTAAGATCCTGGTATTCCTACAATTCCTTTCTTCTTCACCTTGTTTTGGAATGAAGACATTAGAAAAGGGGTCGGGGGGAAATTCTGTAAGTAAATAAGATGACAGAATCTTTACCTGACAGTGGATATTCAAATCTCATAGGATATCCTTTTAATTGAAATAACATCTGTTAGGAAGAGGGAAGCATTACTCAGGCCCCAGTAGATTGTCTCTTGGGAGTATAGAAAACTGAGCAGCAGTCACTCCACTTTGCTGTGGCCTACTTGGATGGCTATATAAATGCCAGGGACTTCTTAGCATTATGTACTTATAAATTCCTTTAAACCAAATGGCTATAATTATGATGATTATTTAATTATATAATTGTAATGAGGTTGATGATGTTGATCATATTTATAGACTTTTGTGAAGTTTTAAGCTTACAAAGTCATTTTATAACAATCTTGTGAGCTGAGTAATACAATTATTCTTATTCCCATTTTACAGATGAAGAGACTGAGCTCCAGGTTAAGTGTTTTGTCCAACATCACTTAACTAGGAAGTAATCTAGACCCAGTTCCATTAAAATGACCTCCAAAATGGAATTCAAGTCTGTTGTGATACTAGAGCTTCTTTGTATTGGATATGTTAAATGAATGGGTCATTGAATGGACCCTGGAGAACTTTTAGTTTCTCTGCATTGATATTTGTCATAACAAGTTTCTTTATAATATTTCATTTGTATTTTTAGGGAGAGAAAATTAAGGAGATGATACCAGGAAAAGAATTCTCAGTTATCTTTGAAGGGGAAATGGGCTGATGACTTTGTATAACTTTTAATGAACTTTAGATAGAAGTTTCTTTAAATATTTGCTAATAAAAAATTATTTTCTATCTATAAATATATGTGTATATATAAATATATATATAATACACATATATATTTGTACACACTGACATATATGATACATACCACCTTGTGTGTGTGTGTGTGAGGCAATTGGGGTAAAGTAACTTGCCCAGAGTCACACCTCTAGTAAAGTGTTATATCTGAGGCTGGATTTGAACTCAGGTCCTCCTGACTCCAGGACTAGTTCTCTATCCACTGTGCCTCCAAGCTTACCTCACCCTTTTTTTTTTTAACCAGTCTTCTATCACATAGTAAGTTGGTACAAGTAGCAAATAAGAGAAAATATACTGATGACATTTTCTAATACATTGACATATATTTAATTCATAGATTTCAGAAGCCTCCCCTAGATAAGTTAGTCCAGTTCCCTCTGGGGACATCTCCAGTTGTTCTGATCTATATCTTGCCGCTAGACTCAGATGGCTCTAGAGGAGAGAATAAGGCTGGTGACTTTGCATAGTCTTCCCTCACTTAAATTTAATTCACTTGCAAGTCATGGCATTATCTTCCTGATGTCGTGGTCCTCTTCAAGAATGAAGGACAAACAACCTGTTGTGTGGGTCAGAGACCACTACTCAAAATCAAGGCAAAGACTTAGATACCTTGAAAGCAGAAAGGAGTTTATTACTTTCTCTTGAGAAAGGGTACCGCCCCTCATTGCACTAATGGTGTAGGGCCAGGGAGGACAGCCAGGGAGTACAAGTTGGTTAAAGCAAGGCTTATTTATACCCTAATGTGAGCTCCTCCTTCCTAACCTCCTTTTCATTATCCCATTGGCTGGGCTTCAGGGGCACAATCTATTCACGGAAATCTTCCCCAGCAACAAAAAGGCAGGAAGTTTTGCAAGGGTAAACAGTTTAGGTTTGGGGTAGGGCTATTCTTTCTGCTACATGCTTAAAAAAAACAGGGTCTGACTGGGCGGTGGTTGTGTGTGTGTGTGTGTGTGTGTGAGGTGGTGTGGGGAGGAGAAGGGGGTGTTTCACGAGGTCAGAAGGGAATGTGTTTCAACAATACACCTAAATTCCTTGAGAAGGCCATCTAAAACAGGTGCCTCCAATTTCTCTCCTCTCACTTTCTTCTTAACCTTTTACTATCTGGCTTCTGACCTTATCATTTAACTGAGACAGCTCTCTCCAAATGACCAGTGATCTCCTTCCTAATTGCTGCCCTTTGTGAGAACTATTAACAAGAACTATTAACTCTTTGAGGAGGCTTCAATTCCGAAAGATCATTTCTCACACCGTGAGTAGTAGGAGCTGCCCTATTTGAGGACCCAACTAGACAGTTCCAGTTGAGCAACACAGCTTCCTCCCTTCCTTCCTTCCTTCCTTCCTTCCTTCCTTCCTTCCTTCCTTCCTTCCTTCCTTCCTTCCTTCCTTCCTTCCTTCCTTCCTTCCTTTCCTTTCCTTTCCTTTCCTTTCCTTTCCTTTCCTTTCCTTTCCTTTCCTTTCCTTTCCTTTCCTTTCCTTTCCTTTCCTTTCCTTTCCTTTCCTTTCCTTTCCTTTCCTTTCCTTTCCTTTCCTTTCCTTTCCTTTCCTTTCCTTTCCTTTCCTTTCCTTTCCTTTCCTTTCCTTTCCTTTCCTTTCCTTTCCTTCCTTTCCTTCCTTCCCTCCCTCCTCTCTATCTATCCATATAGTATATCACACCCTTACCTGTGGGTTCTCTGCCCAAAAGAATGTAAATTTTGATCTCTGAAACCTCACAAGATATCTTGGTGTTTACTGGCTAGATTTCTTTCTTAATGATCTTGCCTTAAACCCAAATCACTCTGGCTCTCATTCATTGACCAACAGTAGGTCCCAACTTAAGCCTTCTTGGTCATTGTTTGGGTCCTGATGGCTCAGAGTCAGGGTAAATCACAATTGTTTCTTTTTTGAAGAGAAACCCTAAGGGGCTTGCCCTCCAAGATTGATTTTTTTTAACTAAGTAAAAGAGGCCATTCTTTGCCTCATTTCTTACCTAGCCTTGTTCACTGAATGGCATTGCCTCAATCAATCTGAGACCTTAACTCAAAAAGGACAAGGTCTCCCACTGCATCTGGGGCTATCTCCAGTCATCCTGATCTATATCTTGCTCCTGGACCTAGGAGGCTTGGGAGGAGGGAGTGAGGCTGGTAACTTTTCACAGCCCTCCCTCCCTTAAATCCAATTCACTTGCAAGTCAAGGCATCACCTTACTGATGTGACGGTCTTCTTTGAGAAGGAAGGACAAACAACAAAAACAGTACAGTTCCCTCATTAATAGATAAGGAAGCCAAAGCTCAGAGAGGCTGAGGATCTTGCCCAGAGTTGCACAGCCAGGAAATTCTAAAGCAAGAATTTGAATCTATGTCCTATGGCTCAAAATTTTGAACACATTTCACTATTCAACAAATATGTATGAAGGACCTACTATGTGCCAGACACTGCAGAGTGTTAAATTATTTCTTGCTATGGAACTGTAGCCACATTTTTTCCTCTAGTAGCTTTTTACCTCTATTCAAAGGGAGGAAGCTATTTCTCTACTATAGACCACTTTTCTGGGGGGGACATCTTTATGAGCTTTGCCTTTTAAATTTATAGGAGAGAAATTGTATTTTTGCAAAAGGAATGAAGGATCTACTCATATGGGGTATGATAATGATAATGAGCCTTTGTTAATTACCTATTATTGCTGGATAACTGCAGTTTGCCATTATATTAGGATAATGCATTTTGCCATCCTGGTAACAGGAAGTGACAGAGTCCCTCAGATCAGGTAAATCTGCATTGCTTGCAGTATTTTCTGGTTGTCGTTGCTGTTGTTATTGTTGTTGTTTTCCAATGTAATTGGCCAGGCTGGTGTCCTCTTGCAAAATTAAGGTTCCTGATATTGAAATCACATATCTGATAGGAAAGAAAAGGAAGTTTCCACAGTAATTCTGAATGTACAGTAAGAATCATAGAAAGTGAGAGAAAGCATGAATCAAGCATTAAGTCATTAAACTGCATCTAATAGGCATTTATTCAATGAGCCTTACAAATGTGAGCTGTGCCCCATTTAAAATCTAACTGGAATTATTGCACATTTCATTAGCGAAGATAATTACCAATTTGTTCCTTCCTAAAAAATCATGTATGTATTAAAAACACAGTAGAGACTTGACTTGACTTTAGAGAGTAAACTGCAGTTGCCTGTTTGGAATGGAAGGAAACAGCCTTTTAAATGGGGTCAAGGGAGCCCCACATTTTTCTCTACCTTCTTTTTCTTGATGTTTTTCTTAAAAGGAGACTCCATAGGAGAGGAAAATCTCACTTTTCACCAGCTTTTAAGTGTGTCTACTTTCTCTAACTGGACACACTTAATAACCTGATTTGTGAAATTTAAAAATACCAGTTACTAAAGCCTTGGTATTTAATGCCATCCCACCCAACACCAGTGAGTATCTTTGAAAAACTGAAATCCCTTCACCTAGGAGTCAGAATCCTGGGGTTCTAAGAGTCACTGCTATGCCATTAACCAGATGCTAGCTATCAAGTCCCAACTCCTCTGAATCTCAGTTTCCTTAAGTCAGATGAAATAATGCATATAAAGCCTTTTACAAATGACAATTATGCTGCTGCTCCTACAGATTGCATTTAATGAAGAAGCATCAAAGCATAATAGCTTTGGATTTTGGAATAATAATAATAAGAATTTGGTTTGGGAGTCAGGTGGAAAGAGGGTGATGGTGGAATAAGTATCTATATGGCATCTACTATGTGCCAGGCACTGTGCTATGAGTTTTTACAAATACTGTCTCATTTGATATTACTATAAATATTTCATAATAGTATTATAGTTGTTTTATTTTATTTACAATAATGTTACAAATATTGCCTCATTGTACCCATGAGGACCTGGATTCAAGTCCTACCTCTGATACATACTGGATAAGCCATTTATAAATTCAGTGCTCTAGGAATTTAAGATTCTAAGGTATAGAAAAAGTGCTGACCTGAATTGTTGGAGAGAGTTTCATCATCTGGGAGCAACCTACATTGATTAAATCATAGGTTAAGACCCTATCTCTATATTATTAATTATATTATTGTTACTGCCTATAGCCTAAGGGCAACAGACTAGAAAATTTTTAAGGTCCCTTCTAGTTCTAAAATAGTTTTCTAGTTGTATTTTAAAACCTCCATTCTCTAGTTCTATGTCATTCCACTGAATAGTGCTAGCCTACATGACTAGCTGAAAGAATCTGTTATAATGAAGAAGAATTTCATATAAATGGCTTTAAAAACCTAAGGGGCCTACAAAGGGCCACAGGGCATTTATTGTGTGTGTGTGTTCCTGAGCATCTGTATGCTGGTGGGAAACTCAACATTATTAATTTCCCATCAGACAACTATCGCTATATATGATTTGGGTCAGAATTCCACGTGGTTTTCTAGTTACTCTGGAAATGCCAGGGCAGTAATTTATGTAGGCCATCCTTATCTTATGATGGAGTATCGTCTCTCAAATTACATTCATATACAGGAGATTGGGGGGAATTAAAAGCAACAATAAGGAAATAGAGAAAGAGAACAGAAGAATTTCCATTGATAAAATTGGGAATATTTGGAAAAGAAGTTGGGGGAGAATTGTTTACCTCATGGGACAATGAAGTCAGGAATAGTGGACTTGTTTTTTAAAAGTTGGGCATGATCTAGCCAGATCCAAGATGTCAGGAATTGGATTCACTCCAATTTAGAAAAGAGTTATTTAGTATCTACACTGGAAGCAATGCATTCTGCTAGATGATACAGAGGTGTATAGACAACAGTTTGCAGCCTCAAGGAGCTAATGGTGTTGTAGGAAAAAGATGAGACAGAAATATACAAGTTGTTGTTATCTAAATTAAGTTCCATAGGACTGAGAACAGAAAATGACTTCAGAGATCATCTAGCCTAATGTTTTCATTTGATAGGTAAATAAATTGGAACCCAAAGTAGTTAAGTAACTACTCCTCTTCAAAATTAAGTCTAGAGAATAAAATGTAATAATAACATTCTGAATATTAAAATCCTGGAAATCCTAATGGGCTCTTATCCCCACTTCATATCAGGGAAATATACTTCAACCTGTTTGACACTTTATATTTATATTACAGAGGCAATTAATCCTGTAACTACATAATTTATTGCCCAAACATAGTGAGAAAAGTATCTTGTGGGGTGATACTCGATGGAGAGCTCAGCTCAACTACCTTAAGATCACCCTCACCACTCTTGTAGGGGATGGGAGAGAAATTCCAAATCCATCTAGTATCTATGATTGTGTTATGTTTCTGGGATGTCTGTGGAGTCTGGGACTGCCCCAGAGACAAATGTGCAAAAGAGAAGAATCAATATTTCTTTCCTCTAATCCTCTGAGATTTTTGGCACCTACTAGTTCAGTCCCATTTCAGCCTGGTCTTGTGATGCCACCTGATCCACCAGTCCACCAGTATAATGGCATCTCAGGTACTATATCAGACATAGCAGCAACCAACAACTGGTGGTAATCACATGCCTCCCTTCACCCTTGATTATTTCCTTGCTTTGCCCTCTTTTAACTGCCTTGCATCCAAACTGAATAAAGAGTTAAATGGTAGTCTTTTCCAAGGGCAAAACCTATGAAAAGCAAAAAAAGAAGGGATGTCTTGACTTTTTGCAACTTCACAGAAGTCTTTCCCTATCTCCCAGCCTCTCACTTAACTTCACTTTGACTGTGAATGCATGCTTACACAGTCCTGCTTCTGATGTCTTAGTGATTCAATATCTCCTTTCAGGAACTTTCAGGAGACCCTGTGGCTTCTACAGAGATGCTGTGGATTACTCTGTGCCTGAAATGTGAGTAACATTCATTCCCACAAGAAATAAGGTTGTACTATAAGGAAAACAGCATTTGCTAAAATAGAATTGGTTAACTATGCTAATATTTCCTACTTTTCCATCATTCTACATTTATATAAAGAGGGATGGGAAGAACAGACATGAGTACAAACTGAATTCAACACTCAACTAACTATGACCATGCTAAAATGAAAGCTGTTACCAATTGGATTTTCACAAGGTTATCATAAGAATTACCATATTGGTAGTCAGTTGTTTTTGCTTCAGTGGACAAAAAAGCATTGTGTACTTCAGCGACAATGTATTTGGATTTCAGGGTACCACTCAATGTATATATTCTTTTTGAGAAAATCCTTTTAGTTATACTAAATACTAAAAGGTAGTTTATCCTTTCAACATTTAGAATTGGTATTCTTTTCATACATTCAGTTGAGAAACTATGCTGGAAGCCTGGAACTAATTTCCCCCCATAATCACTTAAGCTATGAGAGAACTACTGCAATAATAGTCCCTTCCTCCTCCATAGTCTGGTATTCATCTCAGTCAGGCTATCAGGATGATATTGAAGAAGAAGATGGGACAATTTATTGCTCTTCGATAACTTTTGTCTTTATTCATTGACTTCTAGGATTGTAAGTATTCTATAGTTTATTATTGTTATTATTTTTTAATATGTACCATCTGGTGAGTTTTACTATAAAACCCATGCAAATTTTAAGCTGTGATTTTGGAGAATTTTTTTTTTCTATTATCAAAGTAATACTTTTGGGTGAGGGTATTAATGTGTAGTCAGGATGGCTGGAACTCTCTTTTCTGGTTCTTCACTGATGAATAGAGATAGAATGGAATCTTCCTCATTCCCCTCATATCTCCTCCCTAGGGGTGGTTTGGGCTGTGATCTTTTATTCTGGTCACATGCCAGAATAATTTACCTGAACTATTCTTTAGTAATTAACATATGCTAACTCCATTATTCTCTGCCTGTTCTAGAGATGCTGAATTTTCCAGCTGTCATTGCTTAAGCCCCATTGTTGGTCCCCCACAGATCATACCCTTATTTCCCTCAATGCAACTCTACCAATGTCCCACTCTAAAGCTACTCACCTCTTCTACTGTGCTTTATGGAATGCTTGTTCCATAAGTAATTAATTAGCTTTCATCTTAATATTTTCTCTCTCTCTCTCTCTCTCTCTCTCTCTCTCTCTCTCTCTCTCTCTCTCTCTCTCTCTCTCTCTCTCTCTCTCTCTCCGCCCTATCTTCATGTTCTCCTTGAGACCTGGCTCCTTTCAATGACATAGCTTTCCTGGCCCTCCTTTACAGCTTTGGTTGCACATTCACTCATTCCCCCTAATTTATTGGTCATGGTGGGAGAATGGGAGTATTCTTTGTTCTCCATTGCCACTTCTAGCATTTCCTTCCTTTTAAGTTCATTCAATCAATATTTATCCCCTGATCAAGATTCTGATAGTGGTTGTTTGCAGACTACCAGGATACTTCTTCCTCCCTCAAAGAATTCAGTGCCTGGCTCATAGTCTTTCTATTCTCTTCAATTTCTGCCCTTATTACAGGAAACTTCAACTTATATATTGGTACTCTCTCAAACACTATAATCTCCCAATTCACCAACCTACTTATTTTGCATAGCCTATTCTCCTAATTTTACCTCAGCTACAGAAAGAGGTGGTCATGGCCTTGATTTTGCCATCACAAACCAACACATCAGAGTCCTTGTTCATAAGCTCTAACATTCTCTTATCTGTTGGCAATTCATCATTCTACAGCTTCTTTTGCCTTGCAATCTCAAACCCTTTTTTTGTCCTCACTATCTTCTGATTCCTCCACCCCTGAGTTCTTTCCAAGTCAACACTCTTGCACTAGCTACAGTCTCTTCACTTTCCCATTTTTTGACCCCTAAGTGAACCAGTTTAACTTTATGCTGCACTCCTTTCTCTAATCCCTTGCCCCCCTTATCCTATTGAAGATTTTTTCCTGTCAAGTCTCAGCTTTGGATTACTTTATCTTTGACCTTAACTCCTACTCACATGTTGCTTAAAAAGCTGGGGAAAAAATCACAAAATCATGCTTACTGAGTCCGTTACAAATTTTTTTGTTATATAATATTAGCTGAACTCTCACCATGGTGAGACAATTCTTTTATACTTCCCTAATTGATTCACTATCCCATTTACCATAGCAGTATTTCAAATCTTTTCATCCTCTTCAAATCTCTCATGGCTCTTTATCTCCTCAACCTCTCAATTGAGAATCTTGCATCATATTTCACTGAACAAATTGAGGACACTCACATATCTTCCACCACTATTTCTGCCTTCACCCCTGTCTCACATGAAGACATAGCCTTCTACTTGCCAAGACAATCCCCTCCACATGTCCAAGTGATCTCATTCTGTTCTGTCTTCTCTAGTAGATTGCCCTTCTACTGTCTCTACTCTCTCTTACCTTATCTTCAATCTCTCTTTGTCTACCATCTGCTTCCCTCTTGCCTACAACCATACCTATGTCTCTACAATCCTATAAAACAAAACAAAACCCCCTGTCTTGATTCATTTATCTCAAGTAGCTATCATCCCCTATCTCTTCTTTTTTTGTAGCAAAACCTTGTGGAGAAAACTATCTAAAATTGCTGCCTCCACTTCCATTCCTTTCACTCTTAACTCTCTTCAGGCTGCTTCTGACCTCATCCTGCAATCACAAAACTGCTTTCTCTAGTTAACAAATGACTTCTTAATTGTGGAATGAAATAGGCTTTTATCAATTCTCATCCTTCTTGACTTCCATGTAACCTTTGATACTGTGAATAAACTTCTTTTTCTTGGTAGTCTCTTCTTCCTATGTTTTGTTGACACTAGTCCCTCCTTGTATCCTCCTACCCATGTGACTGCTCCTTTTCAATCTTCTTTGCTGCATCTTCATCCAGATGACACCTACTAACAGGGAATGTCTCCCACAGCTCTGTCAACCCTCTTTTCTTTTCTCTCCATAACATTTTCTTTATGACCTCATCAACTACCATGGAGTCAACTATGATCTCAGAGCAGCTGATTTTCAGATCTATTTGTCCAGCCCTATCCTCTTTCTTGATTTTCAGTCTTGTATCTTTAACTCCTAAAGAACACCTCGAATTGTATTTAGACATCTTAAACTTATCCTGTCCAAAACGAAAATCAGTGTCTTTTCTCTCAAACTCTCCCCTCTTCTGAAGTTCCTTATTATTATCAGCAGTTACTCAGGCTCAAAGCCTACATGTTATCCTCAACTTCTCATTTTGTTTCATTTCCTTACTCCCTGCATCCTATCTAATCAGTCGCCAACTTTTATCATTTATTTCTTTGTAGCATCTTTTGCATATGCCATCTTCTCTTCTCTAACACTGCCGCCATCTTGGTGCAGGTAGGTCCTCGTTACTTCATGCATGGATTATTGCAATAGCCTACTGGTTGGTTTCACTATTCAAGACTCTCCCTACTTCAGCCCATCCTACACTCAGGTGTTAAACTGTTCTTTCTAAAGTGCAAGTCTGATTTGTCACCTCCCCTCCCTTTAATCAATTCCTTAACTACCTATTATCCCCAAGATCAAATATAAAATCCTTATATTGATTTTTAAAAGCTTTCATAATCTGCCCCTCTTCTACCTTTCCAGGCTTATTACATCTGCTATTTAATGACCCTGGTCTCCTTACTGTTCCTTGATCTAGATACTCCATTTCCCAACTCCATGCAATTGTTTTGTAATTTTAAAAAATAAACTTAAACACAAAATAAGAGAAGAAAAAAAAACAGACTTAAATACTAAAACTAAAATGCTACAACATAGGAAAAGGAAAAAAAAACATTGCCATGTACATAGCAGAATATAAGAGAAGATTCAAAATATACAACCATAAATTTTCATTTCAAGAAAGCCTATAAAATAAATATCACACGTTGTGTTGAGATCTGTTCATCTTTGCTTCCTTGTAAATTTTCTTTTGTTCTCTGCTGTGTACTTTTTATTTGTTCTTTTTTCCCCTTTCCAACCTGCCCAGGCTACAATTAAGTATATATATAAATATATATACACACACATATATATACATACACACACATGCATACATATATATGCATATACATACATACATATGCATATACATACATACACATGCATATACATACATATATATGTACTTACATACACACATACATATATACATATATATGTATACATACATACACATGCATATACATACATATATATGTACTTACATACACACATACATATATACATATATATGTATATATATATACACATATATATGTGTGTATATATATGTGTATATATATATGTATATATATATATGTATACATATATATATATGTATATATATATACGTGTATATATATATGTATATATACGTATATATATATGTATGTATATATATACGTGTATATATATATATATATATGTATACATATATATATATGTATATATATACGTGTATATATATATGTATATATACGTATATATATATGTATGTATATATATACGTGTATATATATACGTATATATACGTATATATATGTATATATATGTATATATATATATACATATATATATATGTGTATATATATACATATATATATGTATATATATATATATACATATATATATATATATTTGTCCTCTTCCTTTATAAGTCCAAGTCTTTCCATATTTTTCCAAGTCCATCAACTCATCATTTCCTATACCACAGCAATATTCCAATGTCATACTGTCTAGTAAGTTGTTTTAAATAGTCCAAAATAATGCTGGTGAATATGGCTAACACATAGTATAGTTTTCCCATTTTTATCTTTTGATTAAATCTATTTTTGCCTTAACTTAATGTCCAAGATCATGATTACTACTCATGCTCCTTTTCCCCTAACAAATTCTACTCCTGATCTTTATTTTACGTTTGTTTATGTCTCTTATTTCCTATTCCTCCTGACTATTCTATTTTACTTTTACCTGCTATCTTGTCCTCATATTACTCAGCCTACTCCCTCTCAAGGATCCCTCCCTTATCCTTCCATTCCCATTAATCTAAACATCCTTCTATACCCCACTCTACCCTATTCCCTCCCTCTCCCTTCTAAAAATCCCTCCCTTATTCTCTCCCCTTCCCTTTCCCCTTAACATTCTATTTCTTTCTGAATTTGGAAGACTTTTATGTTCTTCTAGATATAGATGTTTTGTTCCCTCTTAAACCTATTCCTGATGAAAGTGAGTTTCCAAAACCACTAGCCTTCCTCTCCCACCTAATTCCTCTGTGTCAGTTTTTCCTCTCCCACCTCATTTGTATAAGATAATTACACTTTTTTTTATCTGTTTCTAAACAGTTTTACTATTTAAAGTGATACCATACTCAGGTCTACCCCAATCTTTTCATGAACTACCAATTACTAATAACAATATTAGACATACATTTTACATTTCCTCATAAAAAAAGATAAACAGTCTGTCCTTAGTGAGTCCCTTGTGATTAGTCTTTGGTCTATACCTTATATTTCTATTGGCTTTTGTATGTTAAATCTATTAAGTTCATGTTTTTTGTTTGTTTGTTTGTTTTACAAGATCCTGGGAGTCTGACAATTCATTAAATGTCAATTTTTTTTTCATTCAGGATTATGCTTAACTTTTCTGGGTATGATATTTTTGTCCAGAACCCTAGTTCTTTTGTTCTTCAATAAATAGTGTTCCAGGACCTGTAGTCTTTTAGTGTCATCACTGCTGAGTCTTGAATGATTCCAATTGTGGCACCACTAATTGTGGGTTGAGCTGAGGGTTTCAAAATTTGACTATGATATTCCTGTGGGTTTTCCTCATAGGATTTCTTTCAGGTGGTGATTGGTGGATTTTTTCTATTTCAACTTTCCCCTCTTGTTCTAATGCTTCAGGACAATTTTCTTTAATTATTTCTGTTTTATTGTATCGAAATTCTTTTCTTTTTTTGATCATAGTTTTCAGGTAGTCCAATTATTCTTGTTTTCTATTCTTGGTCTGTTCTCCAGATCGGTTGCTTTTTCTTATGTTTCACATTCTCTTTTATTTTTTCATTCTTTATATTTTGTTTTATTATTTCTTGGTCTCTTATGACTTCCCTGGCTTCCCCTTGCCCAATTCTGATTTTCGAGGAGTCATTTTCTTAAGATTCTGGATCTCTTTTTCTAATTAGTTGACTTTCTTTTCATAGTAATTTTATTTTTCTTGATTTTTTTTTAGTTTTTCCTCAATCTCTTTCATTTGATTTAAAAAATCTTTTAAAAGTTCTTCTGTGAATTATTTTTGGGCAGGTGACCATTTGATGTTAGTCTTTGGTCTAGAAGAGGGTTCCTTTGTTTCAGCATCTTTTTCTGAAGATGAATGCTGGTTTTCTCTCTTCCCATAGTAACTTTCTATGGTTGAATTCTTTCTCCTTTGCCTGCTCATCTTTTTTTTTCTTTTTAATTTCTAACAACTTATTTTTTTTTTAAGCACCTCTATCCCTGGGATATAGGGGATGGTACCTCTGGCCTCAGATCCTCCGTCAGTTCTCTCCTCTGGCCTGGAAGAGAAACCAAGACTTCCAGCCTCCAGTAAGTGCCCAGAGCCAGTGGCATCCCTGTCCCACTGCTTCTGTACTCCAAGGCCTGTGCTGGTTCCTTCTAGCCCAGGCTGCATCTCTGCAGAACAGCTGGGTCTGGCATTCATTTTTAGTAGAGGTTCCCTCAGTCTTTCCCTGTTCAGATGCCTAACTCCCTTCGCTATCCCTGGGGTAAAAGTTCCTGTATCTGGGACTTAAGGTGCCTCCCAACCCAGCTAACCTCAGGACTTGTTACTTGTTATTTAAGGTGAATTAGCCTGGAGTCATAGGGACCTAAATTCATCCTAGGATTTTTCTTCCAATCTTCTCTGATTGTCCCTTGAGGACCTAGGTTCTGCTTTCTATGTTCACCCTGAGGCAGTATTTATCTTGTTTGTGGGGGGAATCTGGAGAGCTTGGAATTTTCTGACCTACTCTGCCATCTTCCCAGAATCTTCTTCCATGTGTTTTCAATGGCTGTCCCTCCTGCCTGGAATTCTCTCCCTCCTCATTTCTGTCTGCTGGCTTTCCTGACATCTTTCAAGTTTCAGATAATGTCCTACCTTCTTCAAGCAGTTTATTTCAGTCCTGTTTAATTTTAGTGCCTTCCCTGAGTTATCTCCTTTTTATTCTGTAAATATCTCTCCGCTTGCAAGCGATCTCCCCCATTAGATAGTGAGCTCCTTGTGAACAGGTTTTTGTTTTGATTTATTTTACCTTTCTTTGTATCCTCAGAGCTTAGCACAGTGCCTAGCACACAGGAAGTGATTCATAAATGCTTATTTACTTGTAACTTGATCACCCTCTGCTCTTTACCCTTTTTTCTCTTTAGAGATTTCATTAGCCACACCCTTTTATAGTAATTAGCTCCCTTTTTTGCCTAGGTATAATATAATGGCTCTTCAGGGTCACAAGATCTCCTTCTCTCTTTTAATTTTTTTAATGGAATTTGATCAGATAGAAATTTAGTCAATCAAAATAGCTCAGAATACCCTGTTAGGAAAATATTTAACATTCAGGTAGAAGTCTGACTCACAGCCTTAATTTAAACTTAAGTTTATCTCTAGATAATCCCTAGCCTCCTTACATTTGAGACAAAAAAATCAATATAAAGGGAATGTTTATGGAAAAGAATTATGCAGAGTAGATTATACTGTCTCTTATTGGTCAGGCATGAGAAGAAGTTGAGAAAAGGGCTTCTTCTTTGGAAGCTCCCACAGTACTTCAAGATGTGTGTACAACCACAAATACTGGTGGGCATCAGATGGCCCTCCTCAATCTCTCTCCTCTCTAATGTAGCCCAGTCTCTTTCTCTTTTCAGTTTCTCTTTTTACTTTAATTATTCTTGTGTCACTGATTCTTTCTAGCTTCT